TATATATATATATATGACTAACGATAAAGTGTGAGATAAGCACTTTATTATGCTGATGAATTTAATGAAAATCAATTGGGTGATGAAAGCAATAGTGATTTCAAAATTAAAAAACAAATGTTAATGACTTGTATTCTCATTTAATGTTGAATTTATTTTGATTTTTATTATTACGTGTTGGAAGATTCACGATAGTACAATGATAATTTAATATCTGAGTGTTACAAGAAAAACTATCACACATTGATAAAAGAAAAATAATAGAAGGAAACACCAGAATTTTTACGAGGAAAAATTTTGCAAAGGAAGAAAACCACGTGGCCTAGCCTAGTCAAAGTAATCTACTATAAGATTGTAACTATATAAATCCACTCTTCTCCTGAATTCGAGAACATAGAATTACAATGTTCATTATCACAAATGTACAAGAGTTATTCAGGTTTAATAGATGTAATTGGGCTACAACAAATATATTTCTTGGCAATAATAGCAATATTAGGCCTCAAAGGCCATAATCGATTGCTATAATGACAATAATTTGCCATAAAGACTGTAGTGATTGTGATAGTATCAGTTTGTCACAAAAATTATAGTTGGAAACTATAGTAGCAGTTAGCTAGATAGGACATAGTTGATCACATAAGTCGTCGTTGGTAGATGTAGTAATGTCAGTTGGCCAAAGAAGCTGTCGTTATGGAAAGCTACAATGACAACAGTTGACCACATAGACCATAGTGAATGACTGCAATTAAAGAAGTTTATCACATAGGCGGAAGTGTAAGGCTGTAATGACAACAATTGACCACAAGAAAAACTATCACACATTGATAAAAGAAAAATAATAGAAGGAAACACCAGAATTTTTACGAGGAAAAATTTTGCAAAGGAAGAAAACCACGTGGCCTAGCCTAGTCAAAGTAATCTACTATAAGATTGTAACTATATAAATCCACTCTTCTCCTGAATTCGAGAACATAGAATTACAATGTTCATTATCACAAATGTACAAGAGTTATTCAGGTTTAATAGACGTAATTGGGCTACAACAAATATATTTCTTGACAATAATAGCAATATTAGGCCTCAAAGGCCATAATCGATTGCTATAATGACAATAATTTGCCATAAAGACTGTAGTGATTGTGATAGTATCAGTTTGTCACAAAAATTATAGTTGGAAACTATAGTAGCAGTTAGCTAGATAGGACATAGTTGATCACATAAGTCGTCGTTGGTAGATGTAGTAATGTCAGTTGGCCAAAGAAGCTGTCGTTATGGAAAGCTACAATGACAACAGTTGACCACATAGACCATAGTGAATGACTGCAATTAAAGAAGTTTATCACATAGGCGGAAGTGTAAGGCTGTAATGACAACAATTGACCACATAGATCGTAGTGAAAAACTATAAAGATAGCAGTTAGCCAAAAGGTCTATAGTGAGAGGTTGTAATGAAAACAATTGACTACATAAGCCACAATAGAAGGTTGCAATGATAGTAGTTGGCCACAAATGTCACAGTGGGAGGCTGCAAAAAAATTGCAATGATAGTAGTTAATCATGTAGGCCTCAATAGAAAACTACAGTAGTAACTGGCCACATAGGCTATAATGGGTTGCTGCAAGATGTTAGTTGGCTACAAAGGTTGTAGTGAAAGGTTATAAGGATAATAATATCTACGTAAACCATAGTGGCAAGCTACAATAATAAATAGCCACATAGGTCGTAGTGGGGCTCTGTAATAGTTTCAATTGGTCATAGAGACTATATTGGAAGACTGAAATGACAAAAATTAGTCACGTAGTCCGTAGTGGCAAAGTACAATAATAACTAGCCACATAGGCTATTGTGGGTCGCTGCAAGAGCATCAATTGACCACATAAGTCAGATTGTTCTACACTAATTAGTGCTGCAATATTTCTCTCGAATTTTGTTATTTTACGCCAGAGACCATTTGATATTCAACATATAGAAAACTTCAGGAGTCCAAAAAAAGTCGTATTCTGAATGTGGCAATTATAAACAGTTGTGGCCGGGAGTTATCGTCGGATCTGTAATGTGGTGTTATATGTTCCACCGTATTTGGGATAATACATCACATCGTATTCACATAATAATTTGAGAGCCTTAATTGCCTCATAATTAAGCAAGCTAAGACTCGTTGGATTCCTCTCATCGAGAAACTCAATTTGATTATAAGTACATCAAATTTGGAGTTCATTTGACAATTTGATTACAAACCAAATGTGTAAAAAAAGAATTCCATCGAGGCTTTTGAAAAGGGGTTAACGTGATGTACCATTGGAATGTAGTTGACACCGAGGGCATGTCTTCTACCAAGGTTTCTAAAGATCCCTATTCATACTCAGAAGGGGGAAGTGATTTGCAGTTGCATATTCTTGATGAGAT